TCAAGATGTCTTGAGTTCATATCCTGCCAAAGATATTTACTACAGTTGTACAGTTTCCTGATGTCATGGTCCTCTTCAAGAACAAAGGACAAACAATAAAAATAAAAAGTGTTATCCTGCCTGCATGTTGATACAGTATCACTTCCATTAAAACATGGCTTCCACTTTCAAAATGCCTCAGTAAAGAACAGTTTTAACAGTGCAAGTGGACTTTAAGAATGCCTTCCAAGCATTCCAAGTAATTCAACAACAGATAAGTCTTTCCAGTTATGTAATTTTGTTGTTCAGTTGTTTCAGTCCTGAGTCTTCATGACTCCATTTGGGGTTTTTGTGGCAAAGATACTGGAATGGTTGCCATTTCCTTCTCTAGCTCACTTTACAGATGAGTAAACTGAGGCAACTAGGGTTAAATGATTTGCCCAGGGTAAGATAGCTAGTAAGTGTCTAAGATCAAATTTGAACTCAGGTCTTCCTAATTCCAGGGCTGGCACTTTATTCACTGCACCACCTAGCTGCCATTATGTAATATAGAGGTGTGAAACAGTCTGTGGGCTTCCTGCAGTCCACAACACTCTCCAGTAAGGCCCAAACCAGATTAAAATGTGATTCCTGATTTCAATGTGTTGAAGTATTAATAAATATATATAAATATACATCTATGTAAATGTGTGGTTTTCTAATATGCAGTCAGCCCGCTAGGACCCTTATTTACAATTTAGTCTCCGGTTTCTGTTTAACACCACTGATGTAATACTTAGTTTTTTATTGTTCTTTCCTCCCCTACCCCACTATCTTGAAGTGTTATATGTATAGAGCATATGGTAATATCTCATGCCATGTTTGTCAGAACTCAAATGACAAAACTAAGATTTCAAGAATGCTTCTGAGGTTTAAAAATAAATTCACAAGGTCCCTTTGAATTTGTAATCTAAAGCTTATCTCTAATCTATTCTAAATTATCAGGCAGGAGCTATATACATTCAATTCTAAAAGGTTTTTCTTCCCCAATGGAGAGTTAATGATGATCTATTACTATGAGGGAAATGAAAACGATTTATGTACACAAAGAAGAGCAGAAAAGAAAGCCAAATCATCCCATAGATATAATTTGCTTCCTAAAGTTTAAAGGATAGAAGAAAAAACTTCCTAGCATCAAGAGTTATCAAAATGTAGAATGGATAATTTCAGGAGTTAATGAGTACCCTCTTAGTAGAGGTCAAATGGAGACTGGATGACCACCGACTGAGTATAATGTAGATAGAACTTCTTTTTAGGTATAGATTAGATGCAATTGCTCAGGGACCCTTTTCAACTCTGAGATTCTGTGGAAGTTTCTATATATTACCTTCACTTTAAATGGAATTTTCCTCCTAAATACTAATGCTTCATTTATTCTATCATTAGGATTCACCTAACTTGAACTTTCCAGATAAATGAAGCTTTTTTTTCTTTTTTGGTAATTATCAATCCCTATTTTAACACATTGATATACATATGATCTAAAACATACCACCTGAAGAAACAGACCTAAATAACTAGAGAAATATGCATTGCTCATGGGGAGGTTAAGCCAATAAAATAAAAATGGCCATACTACCTAATTTAATTTACTTATTCAGTACTGTACCAAACTGCTCGAAAAAAATGGCAATGAAATTCACAGGAACAAATGTCAAAGCTCACAAGGGTAATAACAAAAAAAATGGGAAAGCAGGTCTATCAGTAGCAAACTTCAAAATGAACAATACAATTTTTTTTATAATAAATTAGTTAATAAATTAATTAAAAAATGAGAAGTTAATCAGTAAAACAGATTAGGTACACAATATATAGAAGCAAACAAACAGCATAGTATTTGATAGAACCAAAGACTCCCTAGTTACTGGGAATAGGATTCATTATTTGACAAAAATGGCAGGGAAAACTGAACAATTGGTCTAGATGGCAGAGTGGATACAGCACTGGCTTTGCAGTCAGAATTTGAACGTGAGTTCAAATCTGGCCTCAGACACTTGACACTTACTAGCCATGTGACTCTGGGCAAGTCACTTAACCCCAATTGCCTCAGCAAAAAAAAAAAAAAAAGTTTAGACCAATACCTCATATTATATATAACAAGATATGCTCCTAATGGATAAAAGGTCTAATCATAAACAAATTAGAGGAGCAAGAAAGAAATTACTCTTTGGATTTATGGAGAGAGGGAAAGAATTCAAGACTAAACAAGTGATAGAGAAGATCACACAAAATAAATTTGATTTTACAAAATGTAAAGTTTTTGAACAAATTTAATGAAGCTAAAATTAGAGGGGAAAGTTAAATGGGAAAAGCAGCAAGTTTTTGTAATAAAGCTCATAAGCAATATACATAAGCAACTGATTCAAATTTTTTTTTTTTTTAGGCAATTGGGGTTAAGTGACTTGCCCAGGGTCACACAGCTATTAAGTGTTAAGTGTTTGGTCTGAGGACAGATTTGAACTCAGGTCCTCCTGACTTTAGGGCCGGTGCTCTATCCACTGCGCCACCTAGCAGCCTCTCTGATTCAAATTTATAAGACTAGGAACCACTCCCCAATAAATGGTCAAAGGATATAAGCAAGCAGTTTTTAAGGGAAAAAATCTGAAATCATATGAAAAAATGCTTCAAATCACTAGTAATAAAGAGAAATACAAATTAGAACTGATTAACAAAGATGATTAACAAAGAGGAAAATGACAAATGTTGGAGAGGCTTCAGGAAAACAGGTACACAAAGTGCAGCTGTGAATTGGTCCAGCAAGTTTGGAAATTTAGAACTATGCCCCCCAAATCACTAAACTGTGCATACCCTCTGACCTAACTATTCTGGTACCAAGCTTACATTTCCCAAAAAAATAAAAATTAAAAAAAAAGGAAAAGATTTCTAAGCATAAAAGTACTTATTGTAGATCTTTTCATAGTAGTCAGAAAACAGAACCTAAAGGAATGTCCTTCTGTTGGGTAAAGGCTAAACAAATTGTGATCTATTAATTTAATGGAATATTATTGTGTTATAAGAAATTATGAAATGGACAGTTTCAGAAGAAACTAGTAGACTAGAGGTCTCTTTGAAATGACGTAAACTCTACTGAGCAGAATGCAAAATAACAGAAAGTCAATGAATAAGCTTTATTTTTCAGTCTTTTTTAAAAATTTGTTCAATGGGAAGGGTGCTGAAGACAGATTAATAAGGTAAAGCATGGAGGCATGCAAGGGGAGATATGAGCAATGTGAAAAAAGAGCAAATACCACAAGAAAGGATAAAATGCACCACTTATTTCTCCATCTTCCTAAAGGATACCGAATATCATTTAAATTCCTCTTGACTTGGGGTCATTATTTTGAGTATCAGCTATCACTACACTGTGTTGCAATGCAGGGAATCTCTCACGGATATTGAAGTCCATGCAGCTATTGAGTCTGCATACTTTTTTTTTTTTTCCCAGATAACTGTTTTTGGTTTCTTCTATCTCCCAGGTTGTGCTGTCATCACTTTTTGGCACTCAAAGAAAAAAAGTCATTTGTAGCCACCACACTGTTTCATATGGCCTTGCTGGGAAACAAAGTATTAAAGCTTGTTTGAAAATTGCATACAAAGTAAAAAAGCAAACTGGAGAATCCTCAAGCTCTCATTTTGAGTTGTGTGCAGCCCACAAGCTCTTGAGCATGAATTTTGTTGACACCTAGTCTGGCTCTTTAGGGGCTTTTTGTTTCCTTGGTTTTATGCCAGTGTTCTGGACAGCTAAGGTTGCTGGGTAAATGATGTTCCAAAAAGTCATGTTGCTCTATGTGTTCTAATTACCATTGCTTCTCCATAAAAAATAAATGGATTCCAAGAAGCCAAAAAAGGCCTCAATTTTTAACCAGCCAAGGCAATATAATATATAATGAACTCTTTTATGCGATCACAAGAAATGTGTTACGCTATTAACAACCTACTCAACAGAAACTTATGGCTCCTGACCAACAGTGGAAGAGAAAGGCACCAGCCTCTGATGGACAAGTATAATATATCACACACTTGTGGAACAGCTGTCATACTAGGCCTTGCTCATAGACATTTCTGTGGGTTTTCTTTTTCAAAAAATTATCTTAACCAATCACAGCACTCCAGGAAGACTGGATAAAATCTAAAATTATGATCCAACATGGTACTTTCAATTTTAACTGCTAGGGAAAGAAAAATGGATTTTTCTTAGTTTGTTGGCAAAACAATTTATTAAAGGGCACAGAAGAATAATCATGCCTTTAAAAAGTACTCAGTATATTTTTTTCTTTCAGTTTTGCTGATTTCAACAGGATGAGGCCTATTAGTATTGTAATAGCCTATTTCAGGGGAGATAAAGGATTAGAGGACAAGTTGACTCCCATGAATCACTCCTGCTGGTCTTTATCAAATTGGGAACTAACTCAAGGAAAGTAACCTCACAGGTGTGCAATATGCCACTGGTTTAACTTTGACATGGAGGACAGATTACATCTTACAGGAAAGGCAAGGACCTTAAGGAAACATCTATGTCCTGTTTAAAGTCACACCATATGACAAAGACAACAGAACAGATTGCATCCTTTCTTGCCAGAAGCCATTATCCACCATTTTAAGTTGTCAATTACAGAATATATTTAACAAGTTATATATTTTTATAGGTCTATGCTTGTTTTTTTTCCCCTTGGAGTGCTGTTTTTCATTAAGATCAGAATTTTGTTTTCCTTCAAGATACACTTGTTTCAAACAAATACCACATGGAGATAATATTTTCCCCCACCAATGTTCCAGTCTCATAAAGGACCCACTTAATACTTTAAGTGATGTAGATCCTTATTTTCTGCTTACACTGATTACCAATGACAAAGGCATATAAACTAGATAGATTCAAATCTGATAATTAACACAAGAAAACAACAATGTTAACTGATGAACCATTTATTTGGACAAGACAAAAAAATCTGCACACTGTTTTCTTTTATATAGAAAGTGAAACATTTCAAATATATTAGTTTTTATTTTTTCAATAGAATCCATTTCAGTCCAGTCCCAGGAATTGCTTCTCATTTTAGGATTCACGTTTCAATAACACATATGCACCCATTACAGCCAAAAGAGCATACTGTAAAGAAACACAATGGAAATTATAGTGCTTGCTTCAGTCTGGAAATACATTTAGAGTCTATGAATATATTCAGAAAAACTCTATTCAGTAATGGTCTAAGAAAAAAGGGTAAATGACCATCTCTTTCCTCATGTTTCATCCCCCAAATTAGGCACTAGATATCATGCATGTTAAAGGAAAAGACCTATAAACATGTAGCAGGAATAAGAATCTAAATAACCAGTGCTTAAAACCAGCTGTAAATAAACACTTTGTTTTTAAATAAGCACCTGTCTGTTTTTTAACAGAACATTTCATAATATACTGTGAACCAACAAAAAAAAAAGGAAGAAAAAATTCTAGATGATAATTTTCCTCCATAACTATCAAATGGTTTGCGAATGAAGTTAACTGTTAAGTATTCATTTCTCTAAAATTATATCTTTCAGTCACACAAATTATACAACTGACTAATGTTCCCTCCCAAAGTGTTCCTACCTTGAATTTTGGATAATCATTCATGATTATGGTAACCATTCCAACATATGGCAAAAACCTAAGTTGAAAAATAAAAACAATAAAATTACTCACAGAATGTGGGCCCCAGATTCAAATTTAGGAAATAAATATTTCTTAGACAATATTACTGAATATGATGGCAAAGATGACAAAGACTACACAGGGGTAAATAAAGAACCAAGTCTCTAAAGGGGGATTACTGGTTAAAAAAACAAAAACAAAAACCTTGCTTCAAAAACCAAAGCCAATTTTTAAATGAGAATGTAAACTTGAACTAACAATTTTCTCATCCTCAATGGCTACATTTGCTACCACAAAATGGATACACATAATTTACTTGCTGAATAAATGAAGAAGTTTTTTTTTTTACAAATTCCATTTGCAATATCTTTAATAGAGAATTAAAGATAGCTTTTCTACAGAAATACTGCTTTCAGGAAGCATCTGAGGCAGATAAAGAATTAGGATTGGAAAAAAAAACACTTTATTGGTTTAACTGAAAAACATTTGTCACTTTAGATGCTATAAAGTTCACGGATCAAGAATTACCAATATAAGATCTGAGAGAAAGTTTGAAATCAAACTAACCAATTACTATGCTGACAATTTAAAAAGGGATAGAGAACTCACGTTCCCATGAAATTCTTCTTTTATTTATTCAGAAAGCATTTAAGTGCCTCTGTGCCTAGGACTCTGCTAGGTACTGAGGATAGAATGACAAAAACTTCTGGGAATAGGGGTAAGAGGGATAAATAGAAAATATATAAGTAAATATAAAGTAGTTTGGGAAAGAGAAGGAGAAGGAACTAGCAAATCACTAATATTCCTGAGAAATCACCTAGCTTTCAATCATTTGGACAAATGGGGAACCAACAGATAATCTTTAGGTTTCCATTAAGCTAACAGTTCAACTGGAGGTGCCAGCACAGGTAGGGGGACTGCACAAAGGTGTTAAAATCATTGAGCTGGAAGCCCTCAGTAAGCAGCACCTGTGCTGTGAGGTACCTTTTGTGCACAACATCTGGCCCTTGTTTGATGCCTTGGATTCGAGGAACATCGGCTTATCCTGAGGCTTCTCATAAACAGACTACTCTGTGGGCTCTGACTACAGTTTTCTCTTAACTCCATGAGAACTACACTTCTTTTTCTATTCAAATGTATCAGTGGAGCTTCTAAAAACATGCAAAAGAGAATCCCACATACTATCCCTGTGCATCCTCCAGTAGACGTGTTAGTGGTCAGTGAAAGAGTCAAAAAAATTAATGGGAAAAATGAGACTCAACTGAATAACCAATCCCTGGAAAAAAGCAAAGGTCTGAAAACTGAGTGAGGGGAAACAGTAGGGTTACAGATGAAATCACAAAAAAAGTATTACACAGAAAATAATCATTTGCTTGTTTCAACTGAGTAAAAACTGACCATAATCTAGAGAAGGAAGAATTTTAATACACAATTAAGTAAGAATTTCCTGACAGTGAGATTTAACCACAGAAAGACTGCCAAAGGAGGCAATGGAAGAGTTTTCCCTGGAGGCCTTTTAGACTAGGATATATTCTCTTCTGGTTGAGAAGAGGTGGTCTTGTTTGATAACAAAGGGATCAAGTAGATGACATTCAGGTCCATCTGAATCTCTACAACTACCTTGTAATTAGTTTGTCTACTTCCAAGTACAAATTGCTTGGGAAAAAATTTTTTTGGACTGGATCTGTGATTTCATTGGCATAGACAATTCTTGGTGAGGAATTTCCTCTACCATTGCAGACTGGCGTAGGTGCTGCTTAGACTCTTGGAGAGTTACTAGCTACTGCCTGGGTCCCTGAGTGGGTTAAGTGACTTGCCTAGGATCATACGGTCAGCATGTGTCAGGGTGGCTTGAACCTAGGTCTCCCTGACTCTGAAGTCAACTCTTTATCCACTTCTCACCACACTGCCCCTCTGAAAATTAGAATTTCAAAAAAGAATGGAGAAATTCAGCAATCTGCCTCAAGTAAAAAGAGTATTTCCTAGTTCCCTTTTCCCCCAAAAGTAAGCTGCTGAAATTTCCCCCTTAAATCATGACAAATTGCTGTAAACACCAAGAATGAATAACCTCTGGAGTGCAAGTATATCTCTGAAAAAGAATTCAACCTGTGGCACAGAAAATCGATTTGGGTTTGGGTTAGCACCAGTCCCTGGGAAGTCCTGATAAGTTTTATTTTGTTATTATGGCACAAAACTGGATCATCTGTTATACTCAAAAATTCAATCTCACCGTGGCCAAATCATTTTCTGCGTCACTGAAACCACAAAGTATAAAAACAAATTCCTTACCCTCTTGCTCTTCCTACAACATCCTTCTTTTCTAGCCAATTTTGACCTTCTTTGTACAAACCTCTATCATCAACTTCATTATTATCTCCTTTAGTCAAAAATTTGACATTTCCATTGTCTCTGAAAGGCAAAAGGACATCAACTTGTAAATAAGTTTCAATATAATTAAAAATGAGTTCAGATGTATACTAAAATCATTCCCTAGGATGATCCAGAAGCACACTGGTAGAGTGGTCATGAGGAAAATTTTGAGTGGTCCACATGAGACATACCTATTTGTTGGTACCCTGATTGTACGCAAAACTTAAAAAATTAACTTGTCACAAATACTACTTACATCTAAAAGAGTGTTTAATAGTTCATAAAATACTTTCTTTACAGCCTTATGAAATGATGCAAATGTTACTCTTTTTATTTTAGAGATGAGTAAAACTGAGTCCCAGGAGGTTGTGACTTGCCCAAAGTCAACTAGTTAATAAGGTAGCACATTCAGGACTTAGACTCAGGTCATCTGACTTCACTGCATTCAAGCTTCCTCCCAGGCAAGATTCAACTGAAAATATGGTACAAACAAGTTCTGAAACACTTCAAGAATCTTTAACAACAAAAGAATATTAGAACTCAGAAAAAAAGTCTCAAAGAAATGATGAACTATCTGTATACCAAGCAATCAAGAATGACTACTAGTTAAAACTCATTGATACTATGATATTAAGGAAAGGGATGCTACCTAATATGGTCAACCTGCTTTCAAATCTGAAAGAAATTCCATGGATTTCTTATGCTATTACTCAAACATATGCATATAGCCTTGTGAAACTGAGCACTGTAAGAGAATTTCAGATTAGGCTGAAATCTCAGCAAATGGTTAGTAATTCCTAAACTAATATGTCACAACTCAAATCACTCAGCATTAAATACTAACTGACTTAACATTATGTTTAGGCCTTTGAGCACTTCACCCTCCTTCCACACACCCCTACATCTACCACTTGCTTATTCCACTGACAAGTAACCAATAATTACATAAGGCTCAACTTGAAGTAGAAACTAAACTATTACATTTTAAGTATCACCTTAATGTGAAATATACTCTGCCAAACTTTGGGCATACAGCTGCTGACAAATCAAACAAATCTGAGCACTGATTCTTCTCAATACTCTTCTTTCACTCGACATTGTATATAATGTGCTACTTCCCTCATCACAGAATACAGTGGAGTAAAAACCAGGATGTTGGGAAAGAGGTAACTGCTAAGGGCATGAACCAGTATGTTTACAGAAAGGTTCTACAAATGGGACCAATTCTAAACATTCTAAAAAGACACTGAGATAGTCTGGTCACAAAAACACAAAATTGCCAAATTAAATAGCCATAAAGGTCTTTTAAAAAATAAAGCAAATGAAAATATGCACAACCATGATTAGATAACATTAAAATGCTGAAACTGCATCAAATAGCAACAAATTGATTTGACCAACTGGAACCTATATTGTTTAAAAAAAAAAAAACCAAAAGGAAAAAACCCACAGCAATAGAGCATATGAATGTAAATTATTGGAAATTATTATTGCTTCAATTGTGAACAATTTTTCACCTTCTAGTAATTAAAAAAACAAACAAAATTATAATAAAAGCCAATCAAGGCCATTAACAGATAAAGACTGAGCAAATTTCTTTCTTCAGTAAAAGAAAAAGTATTTAGCAAACACCTCACAGAGTATATTTTAACGATAAATGGAGGCTTATAGATCAGTCTTTTTAAGGAGCAGTAACTCAAGGTAGGAGTATTATGAATAATTCAAGATATTTGGGAGTAATTGGTAGACTGGAAACCTAAAACTTGAAATTTGTATGTGTATGTAAAGATTTACTCCATCATCTTCACAATATGCTAGATTTATGCTTAATCACACAGTTCTTAAGCAAATTAAAACCATCCATTTTGCTACAGAAAAATCAATAACCAATATAGGTAAAGTGTCGTTGTTTATCAGAAATGAGATCTCTAATCAGAAATTAACATGTGAAGTGGAAATTAGTGCTTCCAATTCTTAAAAACCATTTCTATATATTATCAGTGGTATTTAAAGGGAAAGCAGGTCTATTTGCTGTAGAACATCAGAATTTCAAAATATGGCAACTCCAGTTACATGACTAAAAAGGGACTCAAAGTAAGGAATGAACTAGGTATAAGAAGAGGTATTTTATTTCAGGGACACTTCATACTACATTGATCATTCAATAAGCACTTATTAATCATCTACTACGGGCAGGCACTGTGTTTGGTATTGGAGATACAAAGACACAAAAGAAACAGTCACTGAGCAAGCAAAGTAAGTTGATTGTTTCTCCATGAAATGTTAAAAGAATAAGTTTTCTGTTTGAGGTGATCATTTCTTTGAGTGTTTAGGAAATAACTTTTGACATCAAAATAATATTTGTTTTGCAAAGGGATATAATGTTCCCTTAAGAAGTGTGTGTATGTATGTGCATGCACATGTGTGTGTTTATGCGTGTACATATGTGTGTGTGTACACACACACACACACGCGCGCGCGCGCATACAGCAGAGTAAAAACAAGGATGCTGAAAAAGAGGTAACAACTAGTGGCATAAAACCAGTATGTTAGGCGAGAAGTTCTACAAAGGTGACCAACTCTAAACATTCTAAAAAGACACTGAGCTGCATAATATATATTCATATTACATATGAAATAATATATATATTCATCTGCACATCACTTAATAGTTATCAAAGTGCTTTCTCACGAATAATCTCATTTAATTCTCCCAAAAATACTGTGTATTATTGTCATCTCAGTTTTAAAGATGAGAAAACACGTTCACAAAGGCTACAGTGACTTGCCCGCAGTCAAGGAGTCAGGATGTGGTGGCAGGAGCAGGGTCACAAACCAGGCCTTTTGATTCCCAGTCCAGCAGTCTTTCCATTGCACTTTGCTGACTCTCCAATTATGAACCATGAAATAAGGAAACACAAAAAATAATTAAAATTTCCATTACTTTTCATGAACTTTGATGACTCTGTGAACTATCGGAATATCTCTTCCTTCAACTTTAAAAACAACTATTTCGCCAGCTCTGATAGGGTCTTCCCGGAAATTGGTTAGGAACAGAAGGTCTCCTCTATGAAATGCTGGTTCCATACTGCCACTAAAAAGAAGCAAAACAAACACAGGGCTTACATTATGATCTGAAAATGAGCAACACTGAGATCTACACAAAAGAATACAAACATGCCAATTTAGGTTGAAATTACTTTCAAACACACCCATGGATAACCTACAGATCACTAATACTACCAAGTACATGTTTCTGTTCATTAAAAGGTATAACCTTCTAACAGCCCCCCAAAAGTTGATACGCTCGGTATAAAGTTAAGCATAAAAAAGAATTCTTAAACTTGAGTGTGGGAAAGCTCATTGGCACTTCCTGCTTTGATGAACTGAAGATAAGTCTTGCTTTATTAGACAGTAGCTCCTCCTTGATTCCTAGGAAGACAGAAGCCCTATGGCAGATCAAGTTCAAGAATACAGACTTCTGAATCTTTATGGTAGAGCCTCTCATTTTTAGCTTTAAAAATTCAGTCTCTTTCCAGTAGATTCTATTTCATTTAGAACCAGAATGTTTTAGTTGGTTGGGATCATTCCCTCCATTTAACTGATGAGGAAGTAGATGCAATCAATAACTTAACTAAACACTAAGTACCAAGTATGTGCCAGGCGCTGTACTAGAGAATAGGGTTACTGAGACAAAAAATGAAAACAGTTCTTCCCCTCAAATAGCCCAGAGAGGTTGGCTTATTCAAGGTCAAATAGTGGCAGAGCTGAAACTAGAGCCCAAGTTTCCTGACTCACAATTCTAGACTTCTAGCTAACACCACACCCAAATGGGTCAAATTTTCTAAAATTTCAACTAATTTTGAAAGTTAAAATTGAAGCTACTCTGTGACATTCTCTCCTTTTAAATCCCAGTCTTAGTAGATAGGGCTGGAATAACCAAAATATAATTGGGTTTTATTATAATATGCCAACTGGAAATTATTATAAAATTCTGGAGTCACAATAACTCATTAAATTTATCTATAATTTGTGCCCCGAGACTCCCCAACTGAAGTAAAATAGTTTATTTTGCCTAAACAGCTGACTTGAAAGGATCACCTTCTACATATAGCCTTTATGGTTCTTTCCCATTCCTGGTATACTCCCACCCAAAATTACCTTGTATTTATTTAATATATATTGTATATATACTTATTTATGTACATATTGTCTCTCCTCAGGAGAGCATAAGCTTCCTGAGGACTTTTTTTTCTGTGTATTCTCACCACCTAGCATAATGCCTGGAACACAGTATGTGCTTAATAAATGCCTGCTGACTGCCTATATTGGATTGAAATAGCACAGGGACTGGGGAAAAAAGTCTAGGGTAGAATTATAAAGGAAGGTCATGGAGTAGAGTCACCATTTTATAGCAGAGATCCCTGGGTGGTGACAATGAAAAATGACTCATGCTACAGCAAACCACCCTGGTTTTTAGCAAACTATTCTGTTTTGAAGACTACCATAGACTTCTTTTGTTTTTTTATTAAACCTCACTCCTTTTTCTAGTACATTCCCTTCAAATATTTATTGGGCATATAATGAATGCAAACTCCCTCTTATCAAAGAATTTATAATTTAGTTAGGAGATAGGAAATACATAAAAAGACAGCATTATATGCACTGTATTATTAAAGTGCCAAATGGATAACAAGGACAGTGAGTAAAATGGACAAATGAGGGAGGTATCAAGATAGGAGATGAGGCCTGGGCCAGGTTTTGATGAATAGGTAGCTAGCTACCAGATAATATTAGAACATATAAATGTGAGTTAACAAAGCATGTTCCTCACAATAAGCCTGTGCAGATGGGGAAATGGAGGCTTAGAAAGATTAAGTGAATTACCAAAGGTCATATGGTAGTTATTAAGTGGCAGAATTGGGACTCAAATCAGGTTGGGAACAGAGAGACCATGCCAGGTCAAGTGGGGAAACAGGGGAAACAAAGTCAGGAAGGTAAAAATCAATAAGGTTCTCCGGGGGGGCTGTGAGTAATCGGCAGAAATGAAGTAAGTCATTTGTGAAGGGGAGTGAAGAAAAAAAGACTGAAAAAAATCTGCCTAAGTCAGAATAATAGTTAGCCCTGAACACTACTCTATTCAGTTAGGACTTTTAAGCCATGAGTTTAGTTTTTTGAGCAGAATTCAATGACTGTCCCTGACCTGACACTTCCAAGGAGGAAGGGAAAGAATAGTATCAGCACAAAGAAATCCAGTAAAACCTTACCAATCACTAGGTATTCCTCACCATCATTTTTCTTAAATAAAATAGAAATGCTCAATGCTGTAATAGTTCCAGTATTTTAAAATGTGAAATGTCTAAAGTTTAACTAAGCTAGCAAAAGGTCAAATTATAAAGGCATGGAAAATATTTCCTCCCAAAATTTTTTAAAATTGAAATTACAGTTTCTTTTAGAATATTTAACGTTTTTCTTACATTGCTACCCAGGTTTTCTTGGTTAAAAGAAAATCCAAAATAAGTTTAAAAACTAAATAAGATTTAAAGTGTCTATGTCACCTTATTTACCACATGACACTATTATGATTCTTGTACCACTCAGACAAACATTCTGTACAACTCTCCATTACAAGTGCTAGATGTATTTTTGTCTCATGGCCCTGCCATTTTCACAAGAAAAGGAAGCAGACACAAACTGCTGATTATCTAACAGTCAACTTATCTCGGTTTTCACTAAATACTATGTGACAGATATTGAATTCACTAAGTTTTGGGTTTTTTCCTTTTCTTCCTGAGATAGTTTTTTGAAAATCAGTTCTGTACCTGCTGGACATTGTGGAGGAAATTAAGTTTAAAAAAACCACAGTAACTTTCTTGTGTTTGACTATATTGTTGGTTTCTTCTGTTCAAGTTTGTCTCCTCAAAGTGTCAAAAAAAATTGAGAAGTAAAAGCTCCAAACCAAAAATACTTAAAAGAAAATTCGACGAGGAAATTTGCAGCTATCAATTGAATACTTCAATCTGAATATTTCTGAATGTGACTAAGGAAATATAATTTCATTAGAAAATCAAGTTATATATAACACAAGTTATATCACATGGTTGTGAGAAAAGTACTTTCTATAACTTAAAAGTATTATGCAAGTAATTATTAATAACTACATATTTATATTGCTAAACTAGCAAAGTGACTTTAGAACACTATGATACAATTTTTTAAAAGTATTATTTATATTCATAAAGTTGATAAAACTTGGAAAACTTTTTATTCAAGTATTTGTTTTCACAACCATAAAACACAAAACATTAACAATATATTAATGTGACTGAATAAAGAAATGATCATGGAAGACCTACCTCAGAACCACCACAATAGGGCTTTCACTCCCAGTGACAACTATCAAGCCTTTCCATATCATAAGAGCAGAAGATACAATCATGGCAAAATTTAAAACCTGGTAATACAGCTGTGGAAAAAAGGAAAACAAAACAAAACAAAAACAAAAGAATTCTACTGAGGATATATTTAAATTTTTCAAGTAAAATATGAGACATATATGCTTTTAATGAACTAGTTCTGAACATACATTTAACAATAAGCTGAACAACATTTCCAGGGAAGACACTTCCTTCCTCCAAGGAAGGGACGTGGGGGATGGATTACTAGGTGCAATTAACTCATTGGTAACCTTTGAATAAACAGTTGGGTTCAGTAATGTGATGACATTGGAAGACAAGTGGAAAGGTTTTGAGGAGTAAGTGGATGGTGTGGAAGTGTAGGCAACAAGGTGCCCTTCTAGAAGTTTGGCAGGAAATGGATGGATAACAGCTTGAGGGAATGGAAGGGTCAAATGAAGGTTTTTAAAGATGGGGTAAATCTGAGTATGTTTCTAGAGTAAGTAGCCTGGGGGGAGACACTAGCTTATGCTCTCCTGAGGAGAGACAATATGTACATAAATAAGTATATATACAATATATATTAAATAAATACAAGGTAATTTTGGGTGGGAGTATACCAGGAATGGGAAAGAACCATAAAGGCTATATGTAGAAGGTGATCCTTTCAAGTCAGCTGTTTAGGCAAAATAAACTAATATAATATATTTAAATTTTTCAAGTAAAATATGAGACATATATGCTTTTAATGAACTAGTTCTGAACATACATTTAACAATAAGCTGAACAACATTTCCAGGGAAGACACTTCCTTGCTCCAAGGAAGGGACGTGGGGGATGGATTACTAGGTGGACTTTTCTAAGTGAAGAATCCCTCCCCCCCTTACCTCACAAGAATCAACCATACCACTGTCTTGCAAGGTCTTGACACTAAAGTCTCACATTACCTAATATGAAAATAGAAGGAACCTTAGAGCATGTCCAGGACTTGTTTTCTCCTCCTCCGGTTCAATCTTAGAGGAAAAGATCTTTTTTTTTTTTTAACTGAGGCAATCAGGGTTAAGTGACTTGCCCAGGGTCACACAGCTATTAAGTGTCTGAGGCTGGATTGAACTCAGGTCCTCCTGACTCCCAAGGCCTGAGCTCTATTCACTGTGCCACCTAGCTGCCCCCAAAAGATCTATGTTCAATCTGTGCTAAAGCTCCCCCCTTCCTGTGCCCTTGGTCCTCCACTCCACTCTTTCAGAACAATGCCCCAATAACACTCATTTTCAAATGTCTCCCCCCAGGCTACTTACTCTAGAAACATACTCAGATTTACCCCATCTTTAAAAACCTTCATTTGACCCTTCCATTCCCTCAAGCTGTTATCCACCCATTTCCTGCCAAACTTCTAGAAGGGCACCTTGTTGCCTACACTTCCACACCATCCACTTACTCCTCAAAACCTTTCCACTTGTCTTCCAATGTCATCACATTACTGAACCCAACTGTTTATTCAAAGGTTACCAATGAGTTAATTGCTAAAGCTAACAGCCTGTTCTCAGTCCTTATGCCACCTGAACCCTCTGTAGATTTTCTTGGGAATGGTAGCCTAGGTCTCTCCATATGTTCCAGGCTGGTAGTGTTGCAGCTATTCACAAGCCTGATCTCCTTATTGATTAGCACGTGAGCTTTCCCTGACTCCGTCCTAACCTGGGCTGGTTTGTCCCTGCCTGGGCTACCTGGTGGACCATGTTTCTGGGGGCTCACCATACTGGCATCACACTCACTGTGAACACCTGATTGGCCCAATTCACTGCAATGTTGACCATCCTCTCTCTCCTGGACATTCTCTCTTACTTATCTAAAAACTCTTTTTCAACCTTTCAATCTCTTCTCTCTCCCTTTCTCCAGGATGACACAAAGGAGAGAGCCCTGGGCCTGGAGTGAGGAAGACCTGAGTTCAAATTTGGCCTCAGACACTTATCAGCTGTATGATCCCTGAGCAAGTCACTTAACCTGTCTGTCTCAGTTTTCTCACTGTAAAATGGGGATAATAATAGCACCTACCTCCTAGGGAGGTTGTAAGGCTCAAATGAGATATTTGTAAAAAGTGCCTGGCATTTAGTAGGTCCTATATAAATGCTTATTGCTTCCCCTCCTTTCCCTTCTCCCCTCTCTTTCATGTCCAGCCCTAATCTCTCTTTTTAATCCCATACTTGCATCATTACTTGCCTGCTGGCCACCTCTTTAATGTCCCACCAGCTCCTTACACTCAGAGGTCCAAAACGGAACTTATTTTCTGCTCCTCCTCCAAACGTTTTTGTTTTTGTTCAGGACATCATCATCCTCCTACCCAGATTTGTAATCTTGGAATCACCCCTGACTCTTCCCTTTTCCCCATTCCCGCCTTCCAGTGTCTTCCCTCGCTAACATATTCTCTACACACCTGATAAATTAACTTATTAAGACATAGGTCTGACCTATGTTTTAGGTTTCAACTCTCCTGATCAAAAGCCTGCAGTGATACCCTCTTGCTACAAGAATAAAATACAAACTCTTTGGGCATTTGAGACCTTCCACAGTTATTGATCTGACTCATCTTATTTCATATTAGTCATATCCAGCCTTATTTCATATTACTCCCTTTCTCAGACTGCAGGGAGTGGGGTAGGTAGAGGGGAGGAAAAGCGCATGAGGATGGGGAATAAGACAATAAAATAGACTGTCTACTATATGTCAGGCACTGTGCTAAGCACTTTACATATATTATCTCATTTTATTCTCACAAAAACCCTTCAAGGTGGGTGTTATTATTCTCCCCATCTTACAGTTGAGGAAACTGAAACAAATAGAGGTCACACAGCTGTTGAGTGTCCAAAGTGGGATTTGAACTCAGGTCTTCCCAATTCCAGGCCCCAAACTATCCACTGCACAACCTGGCCAAACTGGATTATTAACTATTTCCCAAAATCAACATTTCATCTTCCATCTCAATACACTTCCACAAAATCAGAATGTTCTCCCTTCCTTACCTCAAGTTTCTCAAAATCTTTATCTTTCTTCAAGTTCATGTCAGCTACTCTTTGAAGCCTTCTCTGTCCTCCCCTGCCCCAAGCTGTTAGTTCCTGTCCCTCTCCACAAACTACTTTGTATTGGCTAATCTGTGTAAATGTTCTTCCTAACCAGTAGTATATAAGCTTCTAGAAGACAAGAGCTGTTTCACTTTTCTTTTCTTTGTATCAAGAGCTAGGCCTAAAAGTCCTGAGAATTAACATCAGAAGAATTTCAGCACTAAAAGATGGGTTTCTGCATCAAGGAATGGCTTGGGACCCACAGAAAGCACTCAGCAATATCCCAAACGTGATCTTCCTTGCTTTTCTCCTAGTGAACTCTGGGCCCCTAGCTCATTGTCCACATAGAATTTATGATACGATTACTATAAATTTTCAAATCTTTATGATTTTGTAGTAGGAGTCAGCATAGGAGAGAAAAGAAACTCCTTATAGAATCCAAATTTGAATCTCCACAAAACATTCTACTTTTGACTGTCACATTCAACAGGATTTGACTTTGTTAAAAAAAAAAACAAACCATTTTAATAATTACAGAAAAAATGCTTAATTAAATATGAATACCAGCTTCATTTTTGACCTTTCTTCTAGAGTATGATCATCCCACAAATTAAAATAGCATCCAAATAAAGAATACAGTATGTACTTTTGTTTCATCAAATGTACTGTATGTAAAGCTCTGTGCTAAACTTTGCTTTTAATTAATTTGGACTTAATTCATTTAAATGTTCCCTGTAATTGATTATAGGGAGGACATAGATCATAGAACTTGAAAACTGAAAAGGGACCTAAAAGATCATCTCCTTCAGTCCCCTTAATTTATATACGAGGAAACAGAGATTCAGGGGAGGTTATGGAGCTTGCCTGAGGTCCCAGACTAAGCAATAACAGAGCAAGGATTAGAACTTAGGTTACCTAACTCCTAATGCAATGGTCTTTACACTATGCCTGCAACATAAATTTGAAATTTGTTCTACTTAAGACTTTTTGCAGAAAACAGCTCTTCTTTCAGGATAAGTAATGCCTAAGAAATAAAAAATATAGGATAAAATAAAAGGTACATCCTGATGATGTGACAAGGCTCTTTACTTTTAAAACATTTATGAATCATAATTCCCATCCTAATAACAACAGTCACTTTAGCCTTGGATAAAATGATTTAATCTCATTTGCAGGAGATCTAAGGTCAAGACATATCTGCGATGAAAAGTTGTTATTTCTATTTAGGGCTATGATACTTCCATAAATGTAGAAAATCGCAGTATTTTAAATACACCAAAGCTTCTAAATAATAATGCCCTTGGGAATGGGGAGGAATAACATGTTATGGGTTACACCATATCAAAATTAGGCCTCTTTGAATAACCTACAAGATAGACCCACGCTCTATACTGAAAAGCACTATAAAGTCCAAAGAAGTTAACTCGCTCAAAGTCACTTAACTATGTGATGTGAGACAAGATATTTAATCCTCTTTTGGGTCCAAGTTTCCTTAGTTATTTAAAAATAAAAGGGATGGGGGGTTGGATTAGTTTACCTTAACAAATATTATGTAGGAATATTTCAACTGGTTTACAATCTCACAGATGTGGGTACTCCCTAAAACGGTGAAGTTCGAAAATCCTCCACATCTTTTTATCCTGTAGGACTCCTCACCACTTCTTTCCCCTTTCAATCCCTGCCTCGTCTCCACCCCTCCCACCCCCACCCTCCACCCCTACCAAGTTTCCACAATGGGTCCAATAAATGTGCTGTCAGCCTTTTTCTAGCCCAGGAGTTCTTAACCTGGGATCTATGGACATTTTAAAAAATATATTTTTTGATAACCATTTCTAGTACAACTAATTTCCTTTGTAATTCTACGTGTTTTATTTTACGCATTTGAAAACATTATATTAAGATGGGATCCATGGGATTCACCAGACTGCTAAAGAAATCTATGATCTTAGAAAGGCGAAGAACTTTGCTTTAGGAATTTTAATATTTCTTAGGCACCAGTACAGTATTTGAACTGC